ACACCAACCCTGTCGTCGAGGGAACCCATCTACAGTCACCTCTTACAATCCTATTATAACCCAGAGGCTCTTCAATTCAATGCATACCCTTACTCTCATAGCCCTCATTTTCGATCGCCACTTAGCGCCTTTCTGAACACTAGTAACTTCTATTGTGACGGGCTGGCGAAATAGCAAATCTAAGATACTTTTTCGACAAAGCATGATGATAAAAACTTCAATTTCACCATAACGCCATAGGAACTCCAATTTCGTTGTTTTAACGAAATCAATTTTCTCCGTTCCTATTCAAACAAGCATTTTCATAGTAGCACTCGACAGTGTATAAAAATCACATGTACCCTTTGTGTTGGTGACGACACGGAGCATCAGCTTGTGTCGTCACAGTGTCCCTTTCGTCTTAATTCTTCAGCTTTATTTCCCAGTATTGTTGTAGTAGTTGTTGATAAAGACTTTTATTTCATAATGGTAGATAAAGAAATCGTTTTGAAGTTTCACTTCAATTCGGACATCGTTCGTGTTCGTGCAAGCACGACTGACGTTGATTCGATTGCCAAGGTGAGGGAGTACATTGCTGACGCCTGGCCGGAGTTGCGAGGGAAGGACTTCGACATCGTCGTTGGTGATGGTCTTGGGTCTAAGGACATCCTCAATGAGGACAAGCTTGATGAGCTGTTGACGGAGGCCTCTGTCGGTGATGGTGTCTCGAAGAATATTGGCATCTTTGTGGAGGAAAGGGAGGCTGAGGAGAAGGCGGATGCTGCTGGAGAGGAGGACAAGGATGACGAGACTCATAAGTGCCCTTACATGGCTGCTAAGGAGATGATGATGAACAAGTGCCCTTACATGGCTGCTAAGGAGTGCTGTCCGGCTATGATGATGAACAAGTGCCCTTACATGGCTGCTAAGGAGTGCTGTCCGGCTATGATGATGAACAAGTGCCCTTACATGGCTGCTAAGGAGTGCTGTCCGGAGATGATGAACAAGTGCCCTTACATGGCTGCTAAGGAGTGCTGTCCGGCTATGATGATGAATAAGTGCCCTTACATGGCTGCTAAGGAGTGCTGTCCGGAGATGATGAACAAGTGCCCTTACATGGCTGCTAAGAAGTGCTGTCCGGAGATGATGAACAGGTGCCCTTACATGGCTGCTAAGGAGTGCTGTCCGGCTATGATGATGAACAAGTGCCCTTACATGGCTGCTAAGGAGTGCTGTCCGGCTATGATGATGAACAAGTGCCCTTACATGGCTGCTAAGGAGTGCTGTCCGGAGATGATGAACAAGTGCCCTTACATGGCTGCTAAGGAGTGCTGTCCGGCTATGATGATGAGCAAGTGCCCTTACATGGCTGCTAAGGAGTGCTGTCCGGCTATGATGAACAAGTGCCCTTACATGGCTGCTAAGGAGTGCTGTCCGGAGATGATGAACAAGTGCCCTTACATGGCTGCTAAGGAGTGCTGCCCGGCTATGATGATGAACAAGTGCCCTTACATGGCTGCTAAGGCGTGCTGTCCCAAGATGACGAGCAAGTGCCCTTACATGGCTGCTAAGGAGTGCTGTCCGGAGATGATGAACAACTGCCCTTACATAGCTGCTAAGGAGTGCTGTCCCAAGATGATGATGAACAAGTGCCCTCACATGGCTGCTAAGGAGTGCTGTCCCAAGATGATGAACAACTGCCCTTACATGGCTGCTAAGGAGTGCTGTCCCAAGATGATGATGAACAAGTGCCCTTACATGGCTGCTAAGGAGTGTTGCCCGGCTATGATGATGAACAAGTGCCCTTACATGGCTTGTTGTTGCTGCTGTCCAATGGAGTACCACCACCAGAAGGTATCATCACATCCTTGCATGATGCATAGAACCATTAGACATCCACACGAACGTTGCTGTGCCAAGACCGACAAGCCCGAGGCCAGCGAGAAGGACGAATCCTCTTCTACTACTGATGATGGAAAGAAGCCTACTACCGATGAAGTTGAGGCATAAGTCAATTTTTCTATCAGATTGTTTTCCTGTTCTCTCCTGCCATTTCAAACACCCAACGACTATTGTCGTTTTTACCTACAGCTTCTCCCCGCTGCTGCTGGTGGTGTTGCTGGTCAACATTAGTCAGTCCATCGAGGTGAGCATCTCCTTCAACTTTTTGACTTGCGTTTAGTGTGATGCAAATCTTCATGAATAAGTGATGTAACCATCTCTATTGTTGTTCGACTGTTTTCCTATAGTAAAATGATATTGTCCACAAATCGAATTCGGTGGTTTCTGTGGGCGGAAAAGGAGTCAGGGGATGTCTTCTCTAAAATGTGGTGTACTTTCCTAAGGGCTCAGTAGTGTAGAATATATTTCGTATATTTATTCGATGAGTATTTTCGCTTTCGTTGTCAACGACAGTATTTCGATCATGCACTGAAATGGTTTTGTGATCGTTGGTGATACTGTCGCCAACTCGCTGCAAGCCATTTGCATTAATCGGACCTAATTTGTATCTTTCTGTCGTCGACCTAAGATACGCCTAGTGATGTCCTCTCTGTATAGTAGCTCATAACATTATTGAGTAATGCCGGTGTTCATCAAGCTGAAGTACGGCTCGGAGGTCTTTCGTTGGCGTCTATTCTACGTCCCAGCCTTGCCCGATGTGAAGCGATGTCTCTATGAGAAGTGGCCTCAGCTGCGTGCGGAAGTGGTCAACATTTACTACGTAGATGACGATGGTGATAAATGCCATCTCACTGAAGGCTCCTTCTTCGACGCATGGGAGATCGCTAAGCATCGTGTTGAAGGAACCGATCGTACTCCAACGCTCAAGTTCTCTGTGGAGCTACAGACCGCAGTCGAGGCCCCTCTGGTGTTGCCCTCTGAGCCTCAACAGGCAGCAGTGCCGTGCTTACTGGTGCCGTTGTCGCTGTTGAAGGAGCTAAAGATAGATGCCTTTCGTGATGGGTGGATGTGTTCGGACCAAGGAGGTAAGGGCATGGGGGTAAGTGTAGTGTTATTCTATTTGTGGTATGAGAAATGCTGCTGAAGTTGGATGAGCTACGAAATGGACAACAGCGAATTGAAAGTGAAATCAACAGTGAAGTTTTTTTTCCGTTATAATTCATCACTGTCCGAAGACTTGCGATGGTCCAGCGAGGTTTTGTTAGGCATTCCGACTTGGATGATTTCGGCAGCATATTTTTTCGAGGGAATACTTAAAGCACAATATAGATATCGGGAAGCTATATACGTCATTTGAAGAATCTCGGTGATGATCACCAACAAGAATTCCCAAAATTTTCCTCTTAAATTCTGTACACTGAGGAAGTTCCTCTGAATACACGATCTGTCGTTGTTTAGGTGACCACGCCATGGGAGCCTCTGTGGAATCTGAAGGTTCCTTGAATGATAACGAGAGTGTGAGCAGTGGCTGGCAGGAAGTATCTCGTCAAAATGAAGCCGCTCAGTAGTCCCATCCTTAGACCGTTGAGCTGAAGTCTATGGACTATGAAATTCTGCCATTGTTCGATCGGTAGTGTTTGGTCACTTTGTTAGCTTATTTAAACATTACATGAATAAAGAAAACTGTGGGCTTCGAACCCACGACCTTTGGTATGTCGAAATGTCCCTGTAACTGTTACACCATTTTGTCGGTATTGGTCGGTTAGTTGATTCCGTCGAGCATACGAGCTGGGTTTGCTACCTCTTGCTCAAGCTCCGGTTAGGCAACCTTTCCGACGTCTTCCACCTCTTTGGTTTTGTGTTGCCATAGGAAGTCGCTGGAACCAACCTCATTCAGTCGGGGCAAGAAAAGTATCTTCTGTTTTGTCAATGCCCTTTAATCACATCATTTTAAAAATCTCCCACGGGGATGAAAGCGCTCGGTTTAGGCGGTCCTTCGCAAAGGGTTGCGCATCCCAAGGAGTTGCTATGATGAGCACGGTGAGATCAATGACGGAGATATGCTGGCCTTTTCTGAAAGGGAAAGAGCTTCGATTCCTGTATAAGGACGACGAGGGTGACGCGTGTGTGCTTTTGGAGGGAACGTGGCAAGATGCTGTTATTCTCGCGAGTCGAATAAACGGGGAGGAAAACGATGGTGGAGATGCCCTGAGGCCGATCCTTATCAAAATTGAAGTTATAGTTGATGAAGCGTCCACTGCGAAGGAGGAGAGAGGGGTGTCCACTGAAGGTAATATTGTATTCTTAGGTGAGTTGAGAGAAATTTGGTATTTAATTTCGTGGAATCAGCATGGGGTGATCGAAAGATGTTCATCTGCGTTAGGCTACCTCGTCGTACTAGCTTTTATTAGAGTCTTCACATATTCCTAACTCACTGTATGTAGGAGGAGGAGGAATGACTCGTCTCGGGAGGCCTTTGTCGAATAAATGGGAAGTAACCAAGATTAGAACATCTCGGAAATCTTCGCACTACGAGTATTTAGTTGCTCGCACTGTACACACATGGTACGATAGGAGGCTCTAGTGCCACTGTAGTTGGCTTCAGTTGAGGAAGCCATATAACGGGGGGGGAATACACACGGAGACCATCGCGTCATTTACAGCATTTTCAGGTGAATTTGAAGTTCTTTTTTTTCGATTTTTTGATAATTTTTTCCGCTTCGAAATTGCCCTCTTTTTACCGACTCGTTTTAATAATTCTGGAAATAATATTCACCAACGGCGGTTACCAACTCAAGTATTTCTAACGGAGACAATCTCCCTTCAGTTGGCGCTTCTGAGCTCCCCGACAGTGTTCAAGGACGGCCGTCCAAAAAGCCTCGATACGGGGAGCAGCCCCTTTGGGCCCCTCCTACCAACCCATCGTCAACTCAAGGGCACTCGGTAACTCTCAGTGAGAGAGTGTTGGGTCGACAACCGGGTAATATGGGAAAAATGCGTCGCTCCGCTCGAGATTCTATCGATTCGTGATCCGCAAGTCTAATTTAAAGGAATGCTGTGTTCGGCGGTACAGCTTGGAAAAAATTAAAGATATTTTTCAAGGCCCGCGGTAAAGATACGGAATAGGCCCGAATATGGACGCTCTTTCGTGTGTCATTGAGTTTCCATCAGGTTTGAGTTTTCCACTGCCGCCCGGTCCCTCGCAGAGTGGCCCGACTAAGAATGAGAACATATCTGGTAGGACCTATTCTGTATCTTCGTAGCGGCAACCTAAGATTCATCTCAGATGTTCTCGTCACCGATGCCATGAGACAGCACATGCAGACTCCCACCAACGGCGATTCTTAGTTTCTCAATTTGACATTTTTGCAGAGTTTTGCGACGGACGGTTTTCCATTCGCAGCGTTTGATTTCCGCAATGTCGATCGTTGAGCCGATTCTCGACGAGCAAAGTCGGGGAGTAGATGTGGTTATAGTCGGTACTGGACTCACCGAGTGCATGCTGGGAGCGGCACTCTCGGCCAAGGGGAAGAAGGTCGAATTTCTCGCTCAAATTCGTGGCGCGCGAAAAAATACCATCAGGTGCTCCAGCTGGATTCTAATAGCTACTATGGCGGATCTTCGGCGTCGTTGTCACTTCGGGATTTGCAGAGTTGGGCTGCTGAGGAACCGACCAGCGAGGTGGACAATTTTGTGGCGCGTGACGCTGACTGTGAGGCCTTCATTAATGGGATGCTTTGATTTATCATTGGTCATCAGATGCCGACCTAAACCGCAGCCAACAGAGGTACATGGTAGACAGATCTTTCGAGATGATCGATGATGAAATAGTGAAAGAAGAACTAAGAAAATGCTCGAGTCGATTTGCTATCGACCTCAACCCGCGGATTCTGTAGGGCCTTAATTTCATGGCGCGTGACAAAATCCTTTCTTGTTGTCATTTTCGCGTCGAGCGAATCTTTCTCCTCCTTTGTAGTACCTTGCTAGTCAAAATTGGAATCGCGAAACCCTTGTATTTTCCGCTCTTCCTCTCCCCCAGAAAGTGCTCGAATTTCCGCGCGGAAACGGGAAAATAGGCTTAGCGGGAACATCAGTAGCTTGCCCACTAGAATTCGCATCATCAATTGTGAAATGAGGAGTATCTTAGGTTGCAGCTCGCAAGATACAAAATAGGTTACATTAGGCAACTCGTCTGAACTCGCTGACATGCTATTCTCGTCCGTCTCTGCTCAATTTTCACTGAACAATGTATGTGGTATCCTACGGGCGAGCGAGATTTACATAGGGAGGTTCACTTCACGTTACAGGTACTGTAAGAGCAAGATGGTCGACCTTCTATTGGAAAGCGGTTGTGGCGCGTACTTGGAGTTTCAAAAACTCAAAGATTCGTTGATGATCTGGACAGAAGAGGAGCGTGGAGGAAATGCAAGTGGGAGCAAGATTGCAAGATCGCCATTACGTGTAGCTGATACACTCACTGTGCCGGTTACTCGCCAGCAGATCTTCAAACATAAGAAATTGTCGCTTCTTGAAAAACGGCAGTTGATGAAGTTCATCACCACGTCGGCTAATCTATCGCCGAATTTGGCCTTTCAAAGTGCAGCGGCAGTGGGAACTGACACATACAATAGCGTTGAGGAAAAGCAAGATTGCAAGATTTTGCAAGATCCTGTTTCTGAGCTGGATTTGACAGCGTTACCGAGCAGATTGTTGGATGGTCTCAAATACGCCGTTTGCCTTGATTTAAACGAAGACAACTGGAAGGCGAATAAGAGTGTTCGGCTGCAGAATCGATTAACTCAGTTTGTCCAGTCTTTGCAAGTCTATGATAGCGACGGGTGAGTTGAAGGTCTTCTTAATGGCATGCTTCTCCTTTCTTCATCGATGTGGGAAAGGAGTGGTATGATTGAGCGCACAATTGTTCCCTTTAGATGCGCCTTCCTGCTGCCCTCCTACGGCACAGGCGACATCGTCCAAGCCTTCGCCCGTCGCTGCTCCGTGGAGTCCGGTCTTTACGTGCTGAGATGCACCCCCAGCAAGGTCAGAAGTGTTGAAGGAATGGTAGAGGTGACCACCGAAGGAGGCCAAGTAATCAGAGGCCATCATGCGATCATCTCCCCGGACTACCTCCCCTGGGACCAACACGCTACCCACACAATTTCGTGGCGCGCGGTCTTTTGCACCGACAAGCCGTTGCTCTCTGGTGGCCTTCCTTACCGTCTTGCTGTGATGTCTCTACCTTCGTCCACACGGGAAGCTCCTTCAGTGGTGTCGGTATTGCAGACAACACTGTCTGTTGGTGTTGACAAGAAGAGCTATTGGGTGACTTATTTTTCTGAGGAAGGCAAAGAAGCATCTTCGGCCACACTGGAGAGGGCTGCTGCTGCTTTGCTCGATGAAACTTCAGCGGTTGTCCTTTTCAAATTACTCTATCGCTGTATCGGTAAGGGTCAAGAGGAGACACATCTAGAGGAGGTCTGCTCGAACGTCTTCAAAGTTCCTCATGTGGAGGACTTCAACGTGGTGGCTTCTGATGACTATGCTGAAAATGTGATGCCGAGAGAACTGCTTGGGAGGATACTCGGGGAAGACGACGACGGCGTCGTGTTATTCGATAAGGCTGCTGTGAGTGAGGAGTGATTCAATGCGTGTTTCCTTTATACAGTTTCAATATCTATCGATTGTGTGGGGTTATATAATATGATACTCTTGAGGAACAAACAGAATGATACGATTGAAGTCTGGATAAACAAGAGATGCAATATATCTACTGCTGAGCGCAGTCCTCCTCGTCTACTGATGAACTACAATTGTCTTCATCAACCAATCGACCAACGCTGAACCTCTTCCTCAGCACTTCATCGCTCACCTCTCCTCGCAAGGGCTCAACAGCTGACGATAGAATTCGGACTGTCCTTGCAGTCCACTCAGTCCTGTCAAATCGAGGCGTTGATGCGTCACCAATGGAGGTGGTTTCAGTGGAGGGCGTCGAGGGTCGGAATTTGCCATCGAGGGAGATGACTCGGATATTTGGCAACTTCAACGAGCACCGACCAGCGACCATAATGCCTTCCCCATGCCTTGGGTCGAAACGCTTGATGGAAACATCTGGACCAAGGATTGCCAGAAAGCGTCGAGCGAGAGCATCTCCGTTTGAGGCGAGATGATCTACACCAGCGGCAACTGATGCGGAATGCTCATGGACGAAGATGCAAACAGAAGTCACTGTTGAAGTGTCGAGAGAAGTGAAAATAGCTGACTCTGACACAGGACCGAACGCCCGTGTGAGAACTGCATTCAGAGCGGCGGTTGAGAGGGAACGTTGAAGGCCTTGGATGAAGATGCACCGCGTGAAGGGATCTTCGTCGAAGGACGTAAGATCCGGTAAAATCTCCGAGAGTGACAAAATTTTTTTCATGGTGATAATAATTCTACCGACGAACTCCTTTTCCCAAACTGATGCTAAGTTAAATGCACTGGTGCAACACAACACTTAGATATAAGAAGGAATAATGGATATGGCAATGTCGCGTGGGGGGACAAACCGGCTACTCTGGGCGCATGTTCGTGCGTGCTGACTAGGTCCAATCGGCTGATAACTTGCTACTAACACAACAGTCGTTCATTCGTTGTAATGGTGAACATGACAGAATTAAATATCAATTGTAATTCACAATAGACAATAATCAGTGAACGCCTCTTCGAGCCTGTTATAGCGTCTAACCAAGTGATAGAAGCTCAGTCAATTTACTGTTGAGCTGTTGCCGCTGTTAGAGCCTTGTGATTTGGAGTTAGAGGACTTCCCAGGAACACGACGCGCGCAGGAGGCATAGGGAAGACGGGACGAAGAGACAATAAGGTTAAACCAACGGGGGATCAATGAACTAGTGCATTCAGCACGCATGCGCATAGCGTTCCTGCGTGAAACTATATCGCCGCTGGAGAGCATCTCCCTACTATGAGACTATAATAAAGAGAGCCGTTGACAACGCTCACTTTGCAGGCAGGGGGGAGGGGGAGCTTCCAAGGGTCTGCTGGCATCTAAATATGACTAAGCGGGAAGGCTCTGTTCGCCGACACCACCGTAGGCGTTGCTCTCCTTCCCACATGCACTGCCCTGAGGCCTCCCTAAATCCACACAAGGCCATAGAGGCCTTGTAACGTCCGATCACCGTATCCACGCCGAAGCCTCAGAGCGTCCTCCAAGTTCCGCGTACG